CCCTCACCCTGCTCACCCCCCCACCCCGCATCCAGTCTCACCACATATTTATGCACACTTGGCTCAATCTCCCTCCGAGGGAAAACGGCTATAAGTTATAAAGGTTTAACGTGACAATCATCATCTCTCCATGTTTCTCCCTGGTGGGGGTGAAGAGAGACTTAAGAAGAGTTGGGGGTCTTTGCTGCACCACCACAGCCTGCTGAGCCGCCTGCAACATGTTCACCTCCAGGACTTCCAGGATGGCGGAGGAGCAGATGTGGAGACATGTTTACAAAGAGCATTCTTTAATCTACYGAGCACTCACTCTGTGCCATAAGCCCAGACAAGGTCAGATGACTGTTGTATTTGTGACCTTGTACTGCCATAAATAAAAGGGTCCCTGTTGGTGCAGTCCTCACGCTGGTTTACAGACAGGTCTTTTTAGCAACAGACTCCAATKAATGCCTAAATAAATATGTGAGCTAATGGGTGTGTGGCATTGGATTAAGACAAAATATGCTCTCTGAGGATCTGAGGAGATTGTAGATTTTACACAAAAAAAATATTTTTTGTCTCTCCTGGAAAACTTGATTTTGKGTTTTGATTTTTTTGAATGGATAGTTTCCTTCAACAACTGCATTTGAAAAACTTGCTCTATGTATGCTAACAAGCAAGCTCAGGAATAATTTATGTACCTGTAACCTTGAGCAACAAACATTTGTTGGCTTTAAAAATGCCAATGAGTTGATATAGACCTGCTTGAAGCTCCACAAATCTACAGATGTCAAGTATTTTTGACTGCTTCAAATCTTTCCACTTTATTTCCACATAATACATATTTATTGAAGACGCACAGATATGTTCACAGCAAACATGGCAGTGTTAAATGAACATTATTGATGTTGATTTGACACYGCTCAGTGTTAAATCAACACTGGTGTTGATTTAACACTGCCATATTTATTGTGTTCCTTTSAGTCTTTCCCTGATTACACGGTTAAGGGTTTCTGCATGCCTTCTTTGCACATTTCCTCACACTCCTCCACCTCTGGGACCACGTTTCCTGCCCTGCAGCCCATCTTTTCCTTTCACCGCACCACCTGTTGTACAGGACACTGAGGCGACCCTCCAGGCCCAACAGCTGCAGCTTTTTTACCCCACTTCTCCAAGAAACACAAACACACCAAAGTGCCCTTGCTACCAATCTGAATCTCTTGTGCAAACAGTCACATACAAATGCAAAGCTAGCCAGTGATTAGGAGCATCTGCCAAACACCCACATACCATATGCCTGTGTCTTTTAGCCAAGGAGGGGGGGAAATAATACAGAAATACACTTATGCACGCAGCTCTTGACAGATTTGGAAAGTGCACATAAATGCTCTTGTGTTTGGTTCTAATTGTGATTTGATCACAAACATCAGGACATTTCATTTAACTATATATTTGCTTTTTTGATCCATTCAACCTGTCTGCCATTGGTTTATTYTCCTTCATCATCTCATTTATTTTACTAAGAACAAAACACAATGCTGAAATACAAAAGTGCATAAAGATGCAGCATGTAAACGGGTTAAGGAGCAGCAGCACCTGTCAGGAAACTTTAGATATAATGTGATTTCTACAACAGAGAGTGACATATCTTTTCTTTTTCTGTACAGGAGCTCTTCTCATAGGGCTGGTAAATGTCACTTCCAAACGATAAGATGAAAAAAAAAAGAATCCCTCACTCTTTTTGATTTTAAAGTGAGATATCAAACTATGACATTTTTCCTGTGATGTGGTTTCTTTTCCTTTGTCAAGTCACATTGTATGTAGCTGTTCTGAAACTTCTCAAGTAGTCTTCATTTGATCATTCCTCCACATAAAATGACCAAAAAAAATTGAAAGCCAAACTACTAAAAGGTTGTACGCTTTTGCTTTGAGTCTATAAAGCCAGACGTTGCTAAAAAAATGATCAAGATTGGACACAGTGCCAGTGATGGAGAGAGATGCTCCCTGCAGGTGTCAGCGAAGCATCAAATCACTTTCCTCTTCACAACTTTATCTTTTATTTACAAGGCAGCTAATGTAAACCATTTACAGTACAGTCATGTGAATATGAAACATTTATTACATAGAGTGACCTTACACACCAGCTTATGTACATGTTGTAACTTCAGATCTGTGGATTACTTTATCTTCTGTGACAGCAGGAGTTGTGGTGGTGGGTGGGTGGGTGGGGGGAGCTCATATCGCTGTCCACATTAAAGATAATGGCCGGACCTTTGGTAAACCTGGACACACAAGTCAAGACCTGCAGCCACGGCTGACTTCATCATTACTGAATGAGAGCGTGTGAGGCTGGTCCATTCAAACCCACCACTCACGAAAGTCCCTGCAAAAAACAGAATGATAATGTTATTTACAATTACCAKAACTCTTCTGTTTTATCTTCTTTATTCACTTCCTGTTAAACAGGCAGTAAAATTATAAATGATTTTGTTCCTTTCTCTAATGATCATCTTAAGACAGATCACTTCACTCTCAGAGTGCAGGTTCTTCTGAAAGTAGAAATGAAAGCACAGGCTTCAGTGGAACCAGATCCCAATTTTGGTTTAGAAGGCAGACGTGTTGTTTGCTTCAGGCTTAAAAGGCTTTTTGTAAACTCTGAACCATGCAGTCAGTTATGCTAGGATCAAAATGAAGATTTGCTGGAATCTGCTGGCTTTGTGAGGTTGACAATATTTTACTAATTTTAGAACTGTTTGAATTTGATTCTGTTTCATATATTAAATATCTGGATRCAACTAGAATAGTTTGATATGAAATAAACGGAACTGATCTAAGATGAAGGAATTTGATTTTATCTGTCAAACGCATTGATTTAGAAATTAAAAAGTGTTGAATTTGAATTGACCATATTTTCTTTTCGAGYATTACCCTGAGATTGAACTAAAGCTGCCTCGTGAAGCCACACATGATAACATTAGATTATGCAAATCAYTGCGAAGTCATTGAGGAAAAACAACCATGTCTTCCACAGTACTTTTAAAGATTAGATTGCACTTACTCATTTACAATGGATGGGACACGTCTCCAAAAGTATGACTCATCCTGGATGTCTTTGCCAAATCCAAAAGTATTAGCTTTAAATTCTCAAACAGCAACTGACTCAAGCCTGCACCTTTCTAATACATCAGAGCTGACATACATACACACTGTTTGCAAGTCTAAAGAAAGAAAAGAAAAGAAAAGAAAAGAAAAGAAAAGAAAAGAAAAGAAAAGAAATAACACCACTGGATGTTTTCAAGCTTCTGTTAAACCCCATATTGGAATCAAGGCTACTTTAGTCAAATACATAATTACAACCATCTGCATTTATAGTAGCAATTAGAATAATTTGCGTTGAAGAATCTGGTTGTGTTCTGGAAACACTTTGCTGTTTTACCTGCAGATGTAGAAAGCCTGGAGGTGAGGAAAGCAGAGCAACATCAGTGACCACCGACATGACATTGATTAAGTCAGACACTGTTTGAAAGGGAGGAAGTGTGTGTGTGTGTGTGTGTGTGTGTGTGAGTGTGAGTGTGTGTGTGTGTGTGTGTGTGTGTTGTGATAGAAAGGGACGCAGAAAAAGTACTCAGGCTGATGCATATAAATAGTTTTCTCTTTGTGAGATGTGCTGACTGATGTGGTGAAAGAAACAAATATTGTTTTTCATTTATTTTTTCAAATCAAATAAGTAAAAAAAAAATCCATGTGGATAATTATCCTGTCATCCCTGGAAAACAGGTTGTTCAAATAAAAAAATTAAAAAGAAAATACATCATGAATGCCTTTTTGTGTCTTGGTTAAGAAATACTCATATAGAATGAAGTGCCTTTTTTTTCTTCKTTTTTGATTGGGAGACTTGTTGAATATGCATACTCACACTATGAATTTCAAATTAATGGTGATGGTGTCAAAGGAGATGACAGAGAKCACCAAAGTCAGTTAATAAATAATGAGTGCAGTGTGGTACAGACTGCCTCACAGAGTCCGGAGGCTGCTGACTGGATGGGCTCGAACCATGTGGTCCTTAGATGGAAAAGCTATGGAAAAAAAGCTAAATGTTTCTCAATGCTTTAAAAGAAAATACATCTGGTCTTTRTGAGCTGTTTAGATTCTCCATTTTTAACAGAACCCATTGTAAATTCYATTTGTAACAAGAAACTCTTTGTTATCTACAACTGATTAAATTAAATTAGAATTTTACTCCACTTTGTGTTAAATCATTCTGTTACCTCACTGAATTCAAAGAACCACCATCAAAGGCTGCATTGATGATTAAAGATAACRGTCACCTATTCTTGGATTTGAAGACTGAATTTTGAGGCTATAATTGAAGCATGTTCAAGCAGTCATTTATATTCAGACACAGCTGGATTGAGATAGAAACATGCTGCAGACACAAGTTAACCTTAATACAGTCATGAACGGGAAAGATGACCAACTGCAGCACCTCATAAAAAGGCGAAAGTGCAAATTAAAACGTTGYACCTATTCCGACTCAGCTCCACTTGCAGCTCGAATGAAAGGCACTT